AAGGACAAAGGAAAGAATCCTATCCTGTTCTCATACCTCACCCAAAACAACCTGGCAAATGAATCACAGACACTTCTTTCTCTTAAAACACTTCGTCATAATACACATTTTGAACTCTAACAGCTACGACTACTTCATTAAAACAAAACTTCAGGGCTTCCCTGGTGGCGCAGCGGTTGAGAGTCCGCCTGCCGACGCAGGGGACACGGGTTCGTGCCCCGGTCCGGGAAAATCCCACATGCCGCGGAGCGGCTGGGCCCGTGAGCTGTGGCCGCTGAGCCTGCGCGTCCGGGGCCTGCGCTCCGCGGCGGGAGAGGCCACAGCAGTGAGAGGCCTGCGTACCGCAAAAAAAAAAAACTTCACAACCTTCCATTGGGAAGAAAACCCAAAGAAACATTAATCTCTTGATCTCCAAGTACAGTTACACCATTCAAAAACTCGTACAACCAAGGATTAAGCTACTGAATTTCAAAAAATTTAAAAAATCAAAGACTTTACCTTTTCAAGTGGTTTCCCTTCCAACTGTATCAAACTCATTTCAGAATAATTCAAGCATTATTTAAAGCACAGTGTTAAGAGTAAATACACAGATTTCTCATCGAATAGAGCTTTAGGAGACTCCACAGGACCAAAAACAATCTCTAAACATCTTACAGGGAATGTGACAGGTACGTCGTATAAAAGTGAGCCTTCATATATTTCAACAATAATTTCTTATAAAGTAACTTGGGATAAAAACTATTTTATTTCTGTCAAACAGTATGTTATTCCCGGAATAATTTCTTCTCCTAAAATGTGTTAGAAGCCATCAAACTTTCGCCCATGCCATTTCTAACCGATGTTAAAATACATAACTGGGGGCCCTGATGACTATTTTTAAGCATTTTTCTGTCCCACCATTTCAATGTTTGTCATGATTAAAAACTGTGTTTACGGGGCTTCCCTGGTGGCGCAGTGGTTGGGAGTCCGCCTGCCGATGCAGGGGATGCAGGTTCGTGCCCCGGTCCAGGAGGATCCCGCATGCCGCGGAGCGGCTGGGCCCGTGAGCCATGGCCGCTGGGCCTGCGCGTCCGGAGCCTGTGCTCCGCAACGGGAGAGGCCGCAGCAGTGGGAGGCCCGCGTACCGCTAAAAAAAAGAGTGTGTGTGACGGGCAGAACAGGAGTCAGCAGACCACGGACAAGAGGCCAAATGCAGCCCGCACTTGTTTCTGTCAATGAAGTGGTACCAGAACCCTTCGCCCACCCCTCCACAGGGTGTCCCAGGAGGCCTCTACACTGCAGTGGCACAGCTGAGCAGCTGCAACAGAGACCGCTTGGCCCAGGAAGCCAGATACATTCACTATCTGGTCCTTCATCTGAAAAAGCTTGCCAGTGTTTTAGAGAACCTTTGAAATCAAATGTCAGTTCATTAGGGAATTTCGGTGCATGTGGGTATACCATAGGAAGAGCAAAGGAATAAACCACACAAGAGAACTCCCCCTTCCCTCCTATCTCCAAGTACAGTAAATTCAGGGTAGCCTCTCCAAATTATTTCATTTGCTGATACAGAACCAAGACATAGAAAGAAGGTTTTTGTTTTTTTTTCTTTTGCAGTACGTGGGCCTCTCACTGTTGTGGCCTCTCCCATTGCAGAGCACAGGCTCCGGACGCACAGGCTCAGCGGCCATGGCTCACGGGCCCAGCCGCTCCGCGGCATGTGGGATCCTCCCGGACCAGGGCACGAACCCGTGTCCCCTGCATCAGCAGGTGGACTCTCAACCACTGCGCCACCAGGGAAGCCCAGAAAGAAGGTTTTAAAGTATACGCATTATACTAAGGATCTTTTTTCTGAAAGAAGAAATAGTACTTTCAAGACTCAGGAACCAAGCTTGCTTTATAAAGCACACACAGAAACGTGCATCTGTATATTGTTTTTTAAATATGTATCTTGCATTACATATTCTAATGTTGAGTACTTTACTGAATCTTTTCCCACCTATTATGTTTGGGAGTTCACTACGATCTCCAATAGATATACATAGAAAACTTTAAAGACACAGTTTAAATCATAAGTGACATGACAATACTTCTGAAAAAGGAACTGATAAAAAAGATCCAAACCAACAGGATAAATAAGATTGGAAAAGTATTAGGTTTTAGCTTTCTACTGTCTTCGTGTTACACACAATCAAGGATAGCCTGGTACTAAGGAACAATACTAAGTACTAAGGAATACATAAATAGCAATTTGTTTTCCTGAGTTACTTTATATTTTATTAATTAAAACATGTATTTTGATGACCCGTACACAATTAAATATAATAAAATTGCTTAGGAACGGAATTTTTGACATCACTTTCCAAAGCAAGGTTTTCAAATTTAAAAATTGAAAATAACTAGGAATATTATCAACAAACGCCAAGAAAAATCAAAGAAATCATCAAAACACAAGTAAGATAGGAAGAAAACTACTACATCTTCATCATTTCTATCACCAAAACCAAATGACGTTAAAGGAGCCCATTAAATGACTCAACTTTGATTACTTAACCTCCACCCAACTCACAACTTTGTGCAAAACGAAGCATTTCCCAGTACTTACTACCCCTTGTATGTGCAAGATACCTTTATAATCTGAAGTACGTAACCACTATTTCAGGAGTGACTTGAAAACCCGAATAGATAACATTTCCAGAACTGTCTTTTTTTTTTTAAGAATAGTTTATTAATATAAGAATCTGTTTTAAAATAAGTTGTAACACTTCAGAAACAACCATATTATAAAGTCTGATTATTTTAACTAAAGTAACAAGACCATTAAAAATTATAAAGAAACATTTAGATCAGTCATATCACCATTTGATGGTTCACTATTTTATGAATAACAAACCTGTATAACACGGTAACAACACCACTCAAGAAATACAAGCCAAGGACATTTGATCATCTTACGATTACATGAAAACAATTTTAGAAAAAATTTTTTTAATTGAGACACTTAAATATATAAAACCTTCAAAATTATCTGTGTTACAGATGATTTAATATTTAAATTACATCAACACAGAAATACTTTAAAGAATGACATATTTTACTGTTTGCAGGGACCATGCCCACTTGTCAGCAAGAAACTTGACTCCACAGATACTGTAAAGAGGTACTTCGATGATTCAAAGTTCTTCCTTGAGTTTGTTCTGCCTGATTAATGACCCAAAAGTGAATTATCTGTGCCTTTATGTGTTAACACCTGAAATATATTATCTAATATATAGTAGTTCTTAAGAGAGACCTTAAACATTTGCTTTTAGTAATATTACTTTCATATTTTCCAAGTTTACTTGTATTCAAAAGGTCTTATGTGTACGTTAAAGTTTCAACATCAAAATAAATACTTAGAACAACAGAAACTCAATAAATTCAACAAAGTTCCATAGTTCTAATAACCAATATAAAAACTATCCATGCCCATATCTTAAGCACTTACCATACCACTAATTATCAGACAGACGGAAATGATGAAGACAAAAAAGGATACTAACATTGAAACTCAACTTCTTATCAAATAACTTGAACTCGAAACTATTTTATTTCTGTCAAACAGTATGTTATTCTTGGAAACAGAATATGAACCCACATGGTAAGCATTTGAAAAATGATTCAAAAACATGAATTAAATGTTAACTCTTTATAAATAAGATAAAAGATAAAAAACTGTGTTCAGCAAACTGCTGCAGAAAATTCAAGGGACTTGCTCAGATCCACTGGCTTGATTACAGAACAAAGCCAAAGCCGAGCACAGGCTCGCTCGCCGCCTGAGGTCGTAACACCCAGCCACACTCCCTCCCTGGTCCTTCCCCCTGCACTGCGGACTCTGCGGCACCTCGGTTTTCTGTTCTTCAACCCACCAAGTGCCACTTGCCAGGGGACACGTACAAACTGGCCATGGCAAAGGGGACGGAAAGAAAAGGGCCAGGGAAGGAAGGGGAGGAGGGGCAGAGAAGGGAGGAGAGAGGGGAAGGTGCTCCAGGAGACCCTCAAAGGCCCTCCTGCTTCCTTCTTAGCACTGACCCCCAGGCCTGAACCCTAGGAAAGAGCCCTCAGCTCGGAACCCACCCCCAGCCCAGGTCCCCACCTCCAGGCCAGGCCAGGCCAGGCCAGAGCTGAGTGAGGCCCACTCCCAACAAGCTGGGTTGGAACCCTGGACCAAAGCTCTGCTATACAGTAAAGGGACTAGGTTCTAAGCTTGATTCCTATCCGCTTTAGGCCTTTCTCTCTTTGAAAATATGACTAGTTGAGAGACAGAAATGCCCTCCAAATTTTCCAGTTTCACAAGAGTTCTCGGACTTCAGCAGAAGCAGCCTTTGCCCCACAGTACTACCACTGCTGAACTTTAGGGACATTACACAGCAAACAGACTTCCTTGCCTGCGCACGGGCCAACGCCTGTGCAGTATTTCTTCTAAGGGAAAGCAGGAGTTCAAACCAATGATTCTATAAGCAAATTTCTCAAACACAGCCCTCACAGGATATATCAATATACTTCGATGATAATTTCTTCTGGCTATATTACTAAGTAACTTCATGTATTTAAGAAAGTCCTCCATATTCTAACAGGTATCACTCTTATGCTACAAACAAAGAGGGCAGACTATTAAATTACTATCCCAAAGGTGTAAACACAGTTCCCAAAAAGTATTCTAAGCACATCTTTATATTCTACCTTCAGGAAAGGTACTTGTATTATGTTTAACGAATGGAACATTACCCTACTAATAAAGTGACAGTAGCATATAATTAAAACATAAAAGTTATTTATTTGCAATTCACTATATACGTACACAGAACAAAAATCACCGCACAGTTTCTAACTTAATTTTTTCTCTCATTTTATACCACACTGATTTTTGCTGCACTCAACTGACAACTCAGGATCAATAAACTAACAGTAGTGAGGAACAGACATGTCACACGTGTCTACTTATCAAGTGCTTTCAAAGCAGAACTATAGATATGAATACTTACTTATCAAAGCTATCACTATTTTTGATGAAGCTCTCCAGTTTTTCCTTGGCATACTCCACCACATCTGAATGAAGCTCAATCCCATGATTTATTCCAAAAGGACCTGCAATTGTAGCAGCAGCATTTATAAAAAATATTAAGAATGTCTTTATAGAGCTCTTTTAATTTCTGCTCATTTATCTATCACAGGAGAATTTAAAGAGGGCTTGAAATATGTATCTGCTATAGCCACAGACTTAAAAAGCTATATGGAAATCTATTTACACTGCTTTAAAAAAAAATAAGTCACAAAGAGTTCTCTCCAGGGTGTAGCTTATCTGTCAGGACAATACTGCCAAAGAGATAATCATATTTCTATATGAAGTTTAAGTTAATTACCATTATCTTCTCCTTTATCATTTGTTAAAAATTCGGTAATTCTCAAATGTCTGAATCCACAGGCTGACACAGGTATGACAGAAGCCTCACACAGCAACCCCCCGACCCAGTGAATGCTACTTTTCTCCAGGGCTGAGACCACACCCTCTGCCTCTGGAGCTCCCACTGTCCAGGGGAGTGTGGCGCCTGGCTGAGCTGGTTTGACTCTCCCGTTCCCACTCCCTTCACACGGCTCCCTTCACTTGGCATTTCTTTTTGCACACAGCCAAGGATGAGTGACAGTCCAGGAACGAGGTACAGGGCAACGATCTAGGGACTGCTCCTTCCCCCACCCTGGTACTGGCCGAGAATGCTACCAACAGGATTCCCGTTTCCTAAGGCTACTGTGCCTCGTGCCTGCCCCATGACCCCACGACAGTAACACACTGTTCTGAGCTAGTCATCTCATTCCTCCCAAACTTCTGAGACTGAGCCAATCAGGTTTTCCACTCTACGTTTTTGTTATATTTCTGTCTTACTTTGAGATTGGTCTCTCAGGAAAAAGTGTGTGTGTGTGTTATTTTCTGTATCTGGTATGTATCTTAGGAACTACTTAACTGGATGTGCCCCCTACTGAATGCCATTAAAAATACAACATACACTGGAGTTCTGCCGACCTCTAAGAACTTTAAAATAACAAAAAAATCAGTCCTCAATTAACATTTTTGAATGTACAGGGGGCACATGAAAATACCGGTTTGTAATCTAGGAATTACCTAACTATAAAAATTAAACCAAAATGTTCAGATACTATCTTCAAGTCAAAAGCAGATAAACCTACTATATTTCTATTGCATTTGATTAATTTTTTTAAAAAAAACTGATTCTACTTGGAAAATGTATTCAGATTAAGAAAAAGATTAGGTAAAAAGGTCCATCAGACCCCACAACAGTTATAGCATTACCTTCCTTTGAAATGCTTTATACTTTTTTAAATGTTATTCTGATCAATGAATTCTTAAATGTTTTGCTTCCCATTTTTTGTTTCCCTACTGTCAAACCGTTAGTCTTCATCTGCTAACTGGAACACCCACCCAATATCTTTTAAGATCTCTTGTAATTCCTTAATATTACCAAATTGCCAAAAACTAGAATTTCCTTTTTTCAAAAAGTCAACGAGAATGGCACCAAAAAAAAAATAAACTTAGAGAAGTACACGTAGTAACGTCACTTTTTAATTTAGTATTGAATCTATTTTGAAAACTTGAATTTCCGTAAGGAAACAAAAAAGGCTAGGAAACACTGAGTAAAGTTTTCCTCATTTAAAAAAACTCAAATTACACTACAGTTACTTAACATTATATACACAGTAAGGAAAATATTGCTCTAGGAAGTGCACCTAATTTTCCTTCTACCCTTTTAAGGTAATCCACTGAATGTAAAACATAACGGAGACTTTTTTCATTTTAAGAATCTAGTTATACTCATCAACCATCTGGAAAACAAAAGGAGGGCCATATAGATGAGAGGTCAATAAAAAAAGGTCACTATTGCTGGGGCTGAAGCTTCCAATAGGACCGAATGGATAAACACTATAATAAAGGCGGCAAGTAGACAATGTAGAAATCAAGGCTTCTGCTCAATATTTCAGACTGCCTTAGTAACAGAGGGCGTCTGAACTTGAGAACTCTAAGTCAAAAGGGACTACGTAGGCTGTTTGTCACTTAAGACACCACGGGTCTCATTTTCCTTTTCTTGCTTTCTGCTTATACAATATCTAAAAGCAAAGTGGCACCTTTTGGAAATAAGGTTTAAAGTTTGTTAAGAAAATTTCTTAAGGTTGTTTTTCACATCACCTTGACACAAAATAAAGACAATTTCATTAACATACAATGGATTTGTTTGATAGTATCACAAACACACATGTACGATATACTATCATTAATTTCTAGTACAAACACCATTCATGATTTTTTAACAGGTGGAATTGCTTAATTTTAAAATATCATGGAGATATATCTTTAATTATCACTAATAAACTGAACAGTAATTAACATGTTGAAAAAAATAAATTGAAAAGAATGCATTAATAGAAGGCAGAACTTAAATGGCAATGTCACCAGTATCTCATTTATTTAGAATGTGATATACAACTAGAACACATCAAGCATATGATAAAACTGCAGTGCGATGCTCTTTATTACAACTCATTTGACACCTGTATTAAACAGAAAAATAAAACACAGAAAACTAAAAAAGCATACACAGCTGCTTCTAGGGAAGGGGACTAAGATGCCTGGGGTGGGAAGGAGACGTTCTCACCATTACACTCTATTGTCTGAAGTGTGTCTTAACACATGCATGTATAACTTTTTCGATCAAAAAATAATGAGCTTAGTCAAAGAGATTTTTTTTTAAAGTACAAGATTTTCAAACAAATAAGTAATGTACAATAATTCTAATAGAAAGGTATAAACTGTTGCTGGAGAAAACTGAAATGGCATCCAAAAGACGAGAGCTTAAGACTCCCTATCACCATCTAACAGATGAAGCGTTAATGTGACTGTGCTGAATAGATGCCAGTGTTATTCTGTATGTGCCAATGTGAAGATTTTTCTATGAAATAATAAAAGCTTAATTTTTGTCATATAAATTCTTAAAAACCAAAGTACTGACAGTTGACCACTACCTTTAATTGCTAAATACTAAAGAGAAAACAGAAACTTACACAGAAGTCAAAGTTTATTAAGACAAATACAGGTATTAGAAAAACATAGGTATCCTATATTAGAAATTATTTTAAGGCTGGCAAAAGTCCATTTATTATAACAAAATTCCTATATAACAAAAAAATCTAAAGACTGTTTTTCTTTTGTAGTATTTGGACCTAAACCAGCTTATTTATTATCTTCCAGTTAGTCAATAATGAGAGCTTATACATAAAGGTCGCTGATTATTAGGTCTAGGTATCAAGTGTCTATCAACACCTCCACTTCTTACCTACATGGCTGCTGACCCTGTGTGACGCCCAGCACCCCACACCCCCTCTGAAGCACTGAGTGTGGTGTGCAGGCCCGGGCACCTGAGAGCTGCACAGCGCCCGGGATGCCCGGTGTCCTCCATGCTGTGCGGAGACCTAATCCGTGGAACAGCCACAAGCAAAAAGCACCTCACAGTGCGTAGCACATAACCAGAGGAGCTCTGAAGATGAACAAGTCACAGTCCGTGTGAGGCCGAAGCACTGTGGGGTGCTGAGAAACCGGGTGGATTTAAGGCCAGTGCCTTCGTTTCCAATCCTGGCTCCTGCTACAGCTGTATCATCAGACCAGTCACTTACCATGTGAGGTCTTTCCTACTGTATGAAATGGGTCTGTGGGAAAATCATGTAAATTATGTAAAAGTCTTTCACACACCATAAAGTACAAGATGGGTACAAATCATTAGAAATTGTAACATGCTCTCCCCTTGAATACAGAACTGGTTAACTGTAGAAGCACAACTGCAGCTTACAGGTGGTTCTCTACCCTGACTGCATGTTAGAATAACCTGTGAATTTTAAAATCAAATTTCAAAGTTGATTAAATTTAATTTGATTTAAACTGTAAACAGGGGGAGGGAATCTCTCAGGGTGAGGCCCAGGCTCTGCAGGTGACCCTAACAAGGCAGCTTGGGTTAAGCACCCTAGCTACACCCTCCTAATTACTGTCATGCCCAATCTAAATGATTTTTTAAATCTCTTTGGACTATTCAAATCTGTGCTCTCGTCGCTAAAATGATAATCAAGAGTTAATAACTACAAATAAAAGCATCGGGATAAAACTAAATATTTACCACAAGAGGGAGTAGGTGAATCAGTTATTCGGTTTCCATGAAACTAGCATAAAGTTTCTCAGTGAGAATTAAAACAGTCACCCTTCAGTATGGGGGGGGGGGGGGGGGGGGGGGGGAGCAGACTGTGATACTGACATTTTTCGAATTCGTTTCTACATGGGGGGGCGGGGAGGTTGGTTCCAGGACCATCCCCTGCAAATACCAAAATCTGTGCACGCTCAAGTCCCTCATATATATAAATGGTAGTATCCGCATGCACCCTGCACATCTGTACATCCTCCCCTAATCATCTTGACTACTTGTAATACCCAATACATAAATGCTACGTATAGGAAATACAGCGTAAATGCTATGTATATAGTTGCCGGCACGTGACAAATTCAAGTTCTGCTTTTAGGGACTTGCTGGACTTTTTTCCCCCAATATCTTGATGCATGGTGGATGAATCCATAGATGCAGAACCCGTGGATACAGAGGACCAACTGTATATGTAAAAACACCTTTAAACAAGTTACAATGATATTTTATTACTAATTCTAGTTGAATAAAATAGGCATCTTTGGGAAGATTTACAAGTAACTTTAGAAGAATTCAGAGATGGTAACAGGTGAAAAGCAGACAAGAATAGGTTTAATTCTTTCTTTCCGTGAACACCCTGGGGTATAACGCCAAGAAACAAAATAGTGCAAAGGTAGATGGAAGAAAAGGGGAGAAAAACTGAGATCAGCAGAAGATTAAGTAACCCATAACCAGATAAGAGAAACTGATCGAATGCATTTCCACTTACGTTATATTTTCTTATGCTTCTCCGCCTTATTATATCACGTTACCAAAGCATATTAACAAAAGACACTGTCAAACATTTACTGAATCTTGCCATGTTAAGCTTAAAATTCTTTAGCTAGTGGGACATAC